AAATCGAAGTACAGGTTTACATGTATTAGCTAGGGCAAGTTGGACAAATCCCTTAGCCTTGCTTAAGCCACCGCTTACTCAATGGTGAAGTATTGTAATGAAAAGGAATGATAAAGCCCTAACTCCATGAAAGCAAATAGTAGGCCCTCAGTAAAAATAGTGCTTTCCTCTCTTAAAAAGCAAACTGCTTCCCAACATTTACCTCCAATGGCAGCTGTTACCACAAGAGGGCACTATCAGCTCAGCTGGGAAAGCATGGCTGCTTTGCCTTCTCAGATTCAATCAGATACCAGCTCATGCCTAAACTTTTTAATTAAAAAAAAAAAATTTTTTTTTTTGTATTTATTTTAGAGAGAGAGAAAGGGAGAGGGAGAGAGAGATGGAAACATCGATGAGAGACAACATCGACTGGCCGCCTCCTGCATACCCCCCACTGGGGATCAGGCACACAAATGAAGATGGCATTTAATATGCATGTTGTGGTGATGACCTTAGTACCACCAAGTCTATAATAAGCAGACCAGGAGAAATGAGAACCTAGCATGGTGGTGAAGAGCAAAGGTCTTTTGAGTCAGACTGATTAGGGTTTGAATGTGGGTTCACCAACCACAATGGACAACTGTAACTCACTGCGCTTCATCTGTAAAACATGGTTGTGCCAGCCTCCGCCAGAGGCTGGGTGCGGGCCCGTCAGCTGAGTCTGGCTGGTGGGCTGGAGGAGCAAACACCGATGAGGACTGCAGGGAAGTCCTGGCAGTACCTGCTCACCTGCTGTGGACACACAGACCAGCTCTGTACTGCTCCGTGAAACAGTCCCTCCGTAGAGTCCCCAGTACTGACAGTCCTGAGTGCAAAAGCCAAACAAGACGAGAAGCCAGCGAAGGGCTGGGTGGAAGAGCATATATATCACCAATTAGGAAGAAGAAAAGTCAAATCGAAAAGGACTTTTAAAAGTTGATCAAAACACATGCCTTAAGGACAGTCTCTTCAAAAAACAGTGTCAGGAAAACTGGATATTCACATGCAAATGAATGAAGCTGTACCCTTACCTTACACCACACACAAAAACTAAAAATGGATCAAAGGCCTAAATGTAAGATCCTAAATTACAAAACTCTTGGTAGAAAGAATATCAGGAAAGCTTTACAATGGAATTGGCAATTAAGTCTTGGATGTGACGCCAAAAGCAGTCAACAAAAGTAAAAATAGATAAATGGCACTACATCAAAATTTAAATCTGTGCAACATCAGACACAGCAAGATGAAAAGGCAACCTACAGATTGGAGAAAATACTTGCAAATAATATATCTGATAAGGGGCTATAACTCAGACTATATATAGAACTCACAACAACAAAAAATATCCAATTTTTAACAAGTGGACTCCAAGAAACATTTCTCCAAAGACAGTATATAAGTGGACGACGAGCATATGAAAAGATGCCCAAGACCACTAATCACCAGGAAAATACAAATCAAAACCGCAGTGAGAGACCACCTCACCCCCACTAGGACGGCCGCCATCAACGAAACAAGTGGTGGCAGGGGTGTGGAGAAACAGGAACTCTCCTGCGCTGCTGGTGGGAATGTAAAATGGCACAGCCAAGGTGGACGACAGAATGGCAGTTCCTCAAATAGTTAACATTAGAATTACCCTCTGACCCAACAATTCCAAAAGAACTAAAAGCGTATTTACATAGCCATTACTATGGATTTTGTGTCCCCTCCAAATTTGATGTTAAAACCCTAATTCCACCCTGGCTGGCTAGCTCAGTTGGTTAGAATGTCATCAGACACACTGAGGTTGCAGGTTTGATCCCCAGTTAGAGCACATACAAGAATAAACCAATAAATGCATAAGTAAGTAGAACAACAAACCGATGTTTCTAAAAAAAGTAATGATAAAATAAATTATTTATTATTTAAAAGCCCTAATCTTCAGCCCTGGCCAATTTGGCTCAGCAGTTAGAGCATCGGCCCTCGGACCAGAGTCCCAGGTTCAGTTCCTGCTGAGGGCATGTACCTCGGTTGCAGTTTGTCCCCGGCCCCGGTTGGGGTCATGTGGGTGGTAACCAGTCGATGTGTCTCTCTCACATTGATGTTTCTCTCTCTTTCTTCCTCTCTCCCTCCGGCTCTATCTGAAGATAAATGCAAAAATGTCCTTGGGTGAGGATATAAAAAAAACCATAATCCTCAATGTGATGGTATTTGAAGAGATGGGCCTTTGGGAGCTAATTAGGTAATAGGGCGGAGCCCTCCTGATAGGATTAGTGCCCTCATAATGAAGCAAAAATAAGCTTGCTTCCTCTCTCTGCTTTCCACCATGAGAAAAGAGGGGCATCTCCAAACCCAGAAGTGGGCTTTCACCAGACCCGAGATCTACCAGCACCATGATCTTGCACATCCCTCTAAAACTGTGTTTCTTAATTAAGGCACTCAGTCTATGGTAATTTGTTACAGCAGTCCAAACTTGTTACTAGACTGAAGGGGTTCATTTGCTTGTATTCATCAAAGCCCAATAGGAGTTTGCAGCCAAGCAAGTAATGGTTTCTTAAGGAGATGGCACCACGCCTGGAGTCACAGGTAGCTCATGTGCAAAGACCTGCTCCCCATGGCTTCCAGGGGGTGGATTATATAAGGGGGAAAAAAACATTAACCACAATGACCAAAGGAGTTAGGGTTGTGGTTTCTGCTGCTTGGTCGGTGCTAGGGTTGAGATGATTGATCACTGCATCTGTTCCTGATGTCAGCCATGGAGTTGTTCTGTGGGATCATTCAGCTTCCCTGGGTCCAGAGTTAAAACACAACTGAGGCCAAGATACTATGTTTAGTTGGATTGAAAACTCTGTTTCAATAGTCAACAGACCCAGGACCTGGTTCCTAAGACTACCGGATACTGATCAGAATACTGTCCTGAGGGCTTAGTGACTACGTAAGGGAGAGGAAGGTGAGTGAGTCAGGGCACTAGCTGAGGCCAGTTTGAGTCAAAGGAAAAAAAATTAAAAAGGCCAGATTGAAGAAAATAAGGCTTCTGCATGGTTATAAACTGACTAAGACATTCACGTTTAGCAGCATTGTTCACAATAGCCAAAAGGTGGAAGCAACCCAAGCATCCATCCATGGATGAATGGATAAACAAAATGTTGTAGATACATGTGTTCAGAAAAATGTATTTATTTGACAACTTTACAAAAATATTTAGGCACATAATTTTCATGTTTATGTTACCTGATTTACATATCTCAATCCTCAGTACCTCTTAAAAACACTAAAATGGTCATTTGATAAGTAGATTCTATATATTGAAAAAATACTATAATAGGCCAACATTTGTAGACAAAAAATCAGTTGATCATCAGCATGAGAAAGCAACATTTATGAACAAAATAATCTCTAAAAACATTTTTGTGAAACAATAAATCTAACCAGTAGATTTTAAAAAGTATTTTCAAAAAAGGAAGCTTAAAAAAAATCCACCAGAGTATCTCCTCATACCGTGATGAATTGCGTCCCATCAGTAAGCACTAGAAGACGGGGTCAGTGCCAGAGGCTCGCAAACACCAACCACTGAGATGAACAGATGCAGACGCAGGGCATCATCAATTCATTCAATTTGGAGACAGGGAGAAGGAAAGATGGGCCTGCGAGGAGCTACTTAAGGTGATCAACTGGGACAGTTTTAACTGAATCACCATTCTGAAGGGTAATTATCTTCCTTTAAGATAACATAATTTTTGTGTTTTTTAAAATTTACCATCAAATTATATGAGTAATTTCATCCTTTTTAAAAAACAGGTGGAACCCCCTGCATTACACAATTGCTACAATGGTACCAAGTAGGAATTTTTAAAAGATCTTGAACAGAAACTGTTATTTAAGCATTCTGGAAGCAAAATTACAGGGTCACATTTTTTCAAGAAATACACACACTGTCTAGGCCTCTAGCATTTAAACAACATAACTTAAGAAATTTGTTTTGCTTAAAGTCTCACCATAAAACGACAGCAATAAAATCTGCCAAGTGTCTACTATGTACTAGGCATTGTGCAGAGTAGTTCGCACCCAATACACATTTGCTTTGAATATTAGGAGGAACCGATAATACGGAGTATGGAGAAGCCAGACGACGTGCAGTAGAGGGAGGAGACTCGGTAGTCATGGAAGTTCTAATAGTCTGGCATATCCCAGAGCTAAAAGACCAGTATGAATTATAAAAGTCCTCTTAGATTAAAAAAACAACAACTTTGAGCTTTAAGGGTGGGCCAGCTGAGCGGTGACACTGTGTGCTGCAGGCGGCTCTCGCTCACTGGTCGCCGACTCCTTCCACTGCGGCTTTCAGTCTCGCTGAGGGACCACGAGCAAGAGCCATGTCCTAGTCATCTGTCTCCCGCAGCTTAGTGTTGTACATCGGTTTGATATGATTTCAAATTTAAGACAAAAATAAAGTTATTTTAAGAGTAAAGATGTTTTGATATAAAAGTTAAATAAGATGTGTCATGATCACATCATCTCAGCTGTTCAGGGGTGTCCCTGGGGGCTTAGCAATAAAAAAAAAATCCAAGAAGGAAGCAACTGTGGCGAGGGATATTTAGGCTATAAATAGTCTAAATGTTTGTGAAAAAAGTTTATGGGTTCTATCTGGGCAAGGTGACCCTTTGCTGATCTAAACAGCTCCACCAAGACCTTGCAGCTCCCTCAGAGCAGGCCATCTTGCCCGCCAGCACGAGGGCCACCCTCCCCAGCACTCTGCTCCAGCAACGAGCACTTTTTTTGTGCTGGCAGCTGGAAGGCAACTCTGTTGGTTAAGCTATCTCTCCCAAGAACCAACCTCGTAGAAAAGGTACACCTCAACTAAAGTTGGACTTTATTTCATTCACCTTCCCTTGCCTGGAACAATCGTGTAATTAATGGATTACTGCTTTGGAGTATGTTCGTTTGTTACTGGCTTAGGAAATTATTATAATTCCCAGAGGGCACATCTTTTAAAGAAAACACTGGCAAAACAAACTCAGTCTCTGAGCATGTTGTTGTCACCCAAAACAAAACACTAAGCATAATGCCCAGCATGAATTAGATGCTCAGTAAATCTTTGCTCACTGAATGAGGCCATAACAAAGGTAAAGGCAAGCAAATTCCAAGGTGCTATTCCAAACCAGTCAAATGTGAAACTCCACCATTCTTCCCATGAAGATCATATAGCAGCTTTACTGACCTGGACTTTCCATGGATTTCTGGTACAACAGGACTGCAGAAAACTTTGAACCTACATGCAAGTTGGATCCTACAAATGACTGACTCACAAAGTCAACAGCCATATGAGGTAATGAAAAATCACCTGACATGTTCACAACATGTAGCCTCACCAACCAGGGTTCCTCGCATCAGTCTGGCACTGACTAAAAGCAAACTAGCTGAAGAGGAGAGAGATGCCAGTAGTCAAAGACTCTGGCTTTCAGAATTCTCACCACAGCTCATCTGTCTCACAGGGCAAAGTAACTTTATACTACCCATTTTCCTCCCAGGAGGCAGTTAATAGATTACACAATTTTTGACCTTGTAAGATACTAACCTTGGGGCAAAATCCAGACATTCTGGGTGATGCTACGGTACTAGGTCAATCTCTAGTGTACTGACCGCTGTAACCAAGCCTGCACATAATTGAAGCAAACTCCAAAAATGGTTGGCCAGTTTACGCAATCTCCAACTTCCCCAGGCTGCTTCCTCTTACCCTGAAGTGTGGATGGCAGTCGATTGCGGCCGTCGAAGGGGCAGCCAGGAATCTGAACATGTACAGGGCAGAAGCTGTACGTTGCTGTGTGCCGTCTGGTCAAAGTTCGGCACAGGCTACGGGCCTTGAGAGCACGTATGTTTAGTGGAGCTGGAATTATGCATGATTTTCTCTGATAAACCTGGAGAGATGACATATCTTCAAGGGAACCCGACACCAAGAGGCAATTCAACTCCTGGTGGGGTTCTAGTTCAATACCTCTAAACACATCCAAAGGCCTTCCATGATGAGAAATTCTACAATACAAATTATAATGTCCAAGTTCCTTCCTTCATTGGCTAAGGAACAGAACTGCTAAAATTAGGTCTCACAATGTCTTCCCACTGTACCCATGCAAATGCAGGCAGCAGCAGGCAACAGTCTCGGGCAGAAGTGCCTATCAGCTGCAGCCAGCCTGGCAGTTAGATAAGAGCTCTTGGTGTCCATCAGATATAGCTCCCTGATTTGCAGAGTCCATTCCTCTGACTCCAGATTCAATTACCTGCTTGCCTCCTCCAAAGAGCTCAAGCTAACTCAGCTAGCATCCCCATCTCCTTACTCCCTCTGAGAAGGGCAATTAATTAATGGCAGCATGATTCAATGAAAACAACATAAATTTCAACTTATTAGCAAATCACCTACTTTCTTTGAATCTTGTTTTCTCATTGTAAGAACCATCCCACACAAGATAATGTCCCATTTCCCAACCAGAATTTCCTCAGGTCAGCTGATATTAGAAAAAGTGAGCACTAGGACCTCTTACATGGAGCTTATACCTTGGAAGTTGGTCGTGAAGCTAATTGTGGGGACCCAGCACCACTGGCCAGGCTTTAATAAAGACAAAGCAAAATAAGGAAAAAGTATAAATATGAAAATGACCTCAATAATTCTTCAAAAACATAAACAGATCAAAACCTTCCAGTACCCTGTTGAGGCACCAAAATACTCACTGTTTAAGTCAAAGGAATCCAGTGGATTATACATCCAATGAACCAGAAGGTAGTGTGTGCACCAGTGCAGAGGTACCCAGCTTCTTGTATACTCACTGCACAACCGGCCTGAGCAAATTCTCACCCCCAAAGTCAGTGGATGCGTCTGAACCAAGACACAGGACTGTGTTTAACACCCTGCCCTGCCCAGAGAGGTAACCCGGACAATATCTATTCACAGCTGCTCTACCAGAATGCGGCATTGGTCTTGAGAGAAGCTGGCATCCTCGTTAAGTGAGCCAAAGGACACAGAATGCAGGTGGGAGTGACTAGAGCAGAGAGGTATGCTCATGCCATCTGAGAAAAAAGGGTGACGGCCCTAACATGACACTGCTGGAGAAAGACAAAACCTGGACGATACAGAAGCACCTAACCAGCCTTCCCCCTCAAGCCAATACATTCAGAAATGTAAGGCCCAGCCATATGGATATAAAGAGGGGTAAAAAGAGGACCAACTAAACCCAGAAAAGGGAAGCATGGGGAAGTCGATGGTGGTCGCCTGGCCTGCCTGCCATTCTCACTCAGAGGGGCTGGGCTGCATGGTTCACAAAGCGCAGCTCTCCACATGCATGTGACCTCACACACAGCCGCTGGTTTCATAATGCTGTGGGGTGGGTAGGGCAGGTGCTGCTAACCCCACGTACGGATTTGCAGTTTCTGAGAACTGAAAAAAGTTCTGTGACTTGTTCAAAGTCACATCTTTCGAATGGATCGACAGTTCTGTCTTACACTCAGTCATTACAGTAGCAGTGAGATAATTTAACTACCTCCGAAAAACATCTCTATACCCCCAGCACTTAGTACAATGGTTGGCACATTTTACACACTCGCTACATTTTAGTTGAATGCATGAATCAGACAGACAGACAGACAAATGAGTACAAGGCCCACCTCATCACTTCTCCCCCCTATCCCACACCACCGAGAGGGAACAGACAGTTCTCGAGGAATGCACTCTGCTCATCCCAGGACTTCCCAGGGAGCAACACATATTTTAGTGCCAAAGTTGTCACCTTTGCCAAATGCAGTGATGATATCCTTATGAAGAAAATGCAATCATTAAATATAATTCAAAGAAGAGAAATGGCAGATACCCCACTGCATTTCCAGCAGAAGGAAGGAAAGCTGAACCTGCCTCCAGAGGCTGCGACAGTTTGAATGGATGAGGCTCCCGTTGGAGCACTTTGTATATGCAGCCCTCAGGGACACCTGGATATTGAAGTACGGAACAAAATAGTTTCAAAACACTGATGTTTCACTGTCAGCACAGAGAAAAATAAATTAAAAGGCCCGGTGCATTTTCCAGTCTGATATAAATTAACTCAAACAGCATATTTAAAACAGAGTCAATTATAAGTTTCTCTCATAAAATGTTAAAAGGCAGCAATTAATCCTCTGATTGTATAAGTGCAAAGGAATGGTATTTTCTCCATCATCAAGACTCCTCAGTATCTGTGTAAGAGTTGCTAGTGTTGCGAGCTGATCGCAATCTGGAGCCTCCGTCGTTGCAGCAATCCTCCGGTCAGACTGCTCCTTTCCCCTTCGTGTCCAGCTTGTTACTGGCCTCTGACTGTTTGCTCAGCTGCTCTTCAGAGAAAGTGATGTAGGAATACACCAGGCTCCCAGCAATACTGCAAAACAGAAACCCACCATCAGGGAGGATGGAAGGAATGGCAAACATAAGGGAGACTGGCACATAAAATTAAAACAGATGCGGCATTTTCATCTACCGGGCCAGGGGCAGTCCTGTCGTGGCATTACCCACTGCTGTTGATGCTTCGGGAAAATGAAGGATTGCACATACTTGTCAACAGGAGTACCAATTTTATACAAGCTTTCTAGAAGACAATTTGTTGAAATCAGAAACCTTAGAATTCTGCTTATCCTTTGACCTATAATCTACTTCACGGATGAATTGTGTACTCTTAGACTTACCAACAAAGTGTTAACCACAACATTTATAATAGCAGAAAATTAAAAGTAAATGTCCCACAGTGAGGAATTATATAAATTCATGCAATAGGAAACCATGTATCCACCATTAAAATGATATAAATTAAAAATTTGCAATGCCATCTTAAATTTTAAAAATCTCACAAAACTTTACTTATCTAATCCCCCCTTTTTTTTTGAGGATTAATAGCCTTTTTATTTATTTATTTATTTATTTTGGTATGTGCCCGCTGCGGGAACCGAACCCGGGACTCTCTGGTCCACAGGCTGACTGATGCTCCAACCGCTGAGCCAAACCGGCCAGGGCTAATCCCATTTTATTTAAATGAATGAGAATATTATACTGATATGCACCAGAATAAAGTATGGAAGGAACACAAGAATATTAACAATGGTTACATCTAGATGGTGAGATTATAGGTGATTTCTTTTTTATTTGTATTTTCTACATTTCTGACAATAATCATTCGAGACATGTTATTTTTAATAAAAATGGGAATCACCCCAATTAATAACTAAACATGCAGACCCTGGGAGATTCACAGAGCTGTTTTTTCTCTGACTAGAATCAAGTTCATAGCAGAAAACCCATTATCTGAGCTCTCAGCCTCTGAGTGGGTTGCTGGTAGCCTTTACTTGTCCACCACACCTACCAGGAGGGTTCACTCTTTTGGGACAGGATTACTCTTGTCTATTTTCTGTGGGGACCTCAAACACACCAGCAATACACAGCTTCCTGTCCCAATCACTCAGCTGGAAGTGAGGTGGAGGAGCTCAGAGGGCTGGTCCTCTGGATGGCCTGCCTTGCTCTCCCACTGAGCCTGCCACCAGCTGGCAGCTTGGCCTGGCCCCTACTCTGGGTCTGGCCCCTACCTCCTGCTCGACCACTTGGCTCAAACACTTGCTGCTTATTTGAAATTAGTTCCATATATTTTCCTCTGGGCTTTGGTGTCCCAACTCCAGCCCCAGATTGGCTATAGCAGGGTGAGAGATGAGATGCCTAGTCCCACACCCATGACAACCTAAAACATAACAATGCTCTCTTTATTTTTCCTGTCAAGATACTCTTTGATGTTCCTATTAAGCCAATTTCATCTGGACAGAAATAATGGAGCAATGTAGGCTAGAAGACAAGGACTATCCTGGAACTTATCCCAGGCTTACTCCTTATAGTGATCCTGGACTCTATGCTATTGGTGTAGTTAATGTAATGAAAAAACATGGACTCAGGAGTTAGGCCTTGGTTCAAATCTTGAATATATCAGCTCTGTGCCCCTGGGAAAACTTGTTAATTTCTCAGAGATTCTATTTTTGTGTTACTAAAATAAGAATAACACTACCTATCTAGGCTTGTTTGAGGATTAAATGAGATAGCATGCACAAGAACCAGGCCCTAATCCTGGTACAGAGTTAAGCAATCAGGAAATATTTCTTCCCTTCTGTCAGCTCTGATACTCATGGACCAGAGGTGAAATACAATGTTCACAAAAGGTATGGTGGTATAATCATATTTAACCTGATGCAAGAGGAGACATTATTGCCACATAACCAGAGCAAAATCAAACACAGAGACTACTGAACTCTGGAGAATAACGAGCACAGACTGTTCAGATTCTCACAATTCTAACAAGAGGCAATACAAGATTTTCCTACTCTTCTTTATTCCTGACTTGATCATCAAGTACTTAAGTTTCAGAAAGAGCCCTTCCTGAATATTCACCAACAAGAATGCTGTGTGCCAAGCAGTGGTGAGTTAATGTTTTGGAAAGGAATACTATATAGCTGGCCCTTGAACAACGTGGTGGTTGGGGCACCAGCCTGCACAGTCAAAAATCCACAAAGAACTTGTGACTCCCCAAAACCTTTACTAATAGCCTACTGTTGACTGCAAGCTTTGCTGATAACATAAACACATTATTTGTATGTTATCAGGATTACAGACAATACTCTTACAATGAAATAAGCTAGAGAAAAAATATTAAGAAGGCAGAGAAAGTACATTTATAGTACTGTACATAGTTACTGAAAAATCCGCATGCCAGTGGACCCACATAGTTCAAACCTGTGTTATTCAAAGATCAACTGTAAAACTGCTTCCTAGCAGCTTTGGGAATGCAGGGAAACTGGGAGGAGGAGAAGAGGAGGGTGGAAAAAAGAAAGAGAAAAGCTTAGATTTGGGGGTTGGGTAGACCTATATCTGAATTTTTATATATCACTACCAAATGTCTGTGAACCAGGAGCTTCTACTATTTAAAAAAAAAAGAACTTCTCGTTGATCTACTGGCTCCATAAACATTCACATGAAATTTTATAACTTCTGATACTTTGGAAGTGGCATTTATAAATTCGACTATCCTAAATATTCTTTTTTAAAAATCTCAAGTAATTCTCCATCTGCCTAATATTCAGATCATATAGTACTACCGACTATTCGTTCCTGGAGCTATGCTGTGGCAGACACAGCCAGGAGAGAAACAGAAGAAAAAACAAAGCTACAGTGCCCTGCAGACAGGGGTCTAGTGAGAATAATGCCAGAACGATAATGGCTGAACAGTGCCACTCCTCTGCTCTGAGCCACTCTGATCTTCCAAAGCCCTGCAAACACAACTTGCCTCACCTAGACGCATAGCCATGCACATATTTACCAGCCACAAGAAGACAGCCATTCCACAAATACATGCTAAAAATGCCTTCAGTATAGCAACTTCATGGCCAGGGCACAGGAGTCCTCAAGTCCAGCTGTCTGCATCTCTCCTTGTAGCTGACATGCTGTTCATATGTTTAGCCAGGTAGCTCTGCCTAAGACTCTGCCTTCCATTTGTAAAGTATCAATCCACTTAAAAAACTGTGAACCAGCCTGGTCGGTGTGGCTCACTGGCTGAGCGTCGGCCCATGTACCTAGAGGTCGCTCGTTCAATTCCTGGTCAGGGCACATGCCCAGGTTGTGGGCCTGATCCCCAGTGGGGGGGCATGCAGGAGGCAGTCAATCGATGTTCTCTCTCATCAATGTTTCTATCTCTCTCTCCCTCTCCCTTCCTCTCTTTCTAAAAGCAATAAATAAAAAGAAACAAAAAAATCTATGAACCATAACAGTAGTTGACTTCTACTGATATCACCTAACATACTTTCTGTATGTATTTGTCAAAACTCATAAAACTGTACATTAAAAGGGGGTGAATTTTACTGTACTTATATCTGTAATATTTTTTTAATGGAAGAAAAAAAAAAAAAAAAAAAAGAATTACAGCTAAAGATGAGTGCCAGAGCTTCTAAGAATCCCAGCCTGGGCAGTTATGAGGAAAATGATGTCGTTACCCGGAACGGCTACATAACTCAGGTCAAAGCCACAGCCAGAGCCAGGCCACTGATAGAAGTACAGAAGCATGCTCTGTCACCACCCTTCACCACTCATTCCCCACCCTGTTAGTTTCTTAGGCTTGGATGAGCACCCTAGTTATTGGCCACTGGAAAAAGGCACTTAAGGATTTGGAGACAGCCAGACTCTCAACAGAGCCCTACCCAAAAAAAAGCCTCTTCAACTGTTCAAATCACAGAACCAAACTGGATGGAACCGAGAAGCAAACCTCCTGCCTCCTGCACCTGAATCATACCAAAGAGAGGGCTATTTAAACTTTTCTTACAATAGCAAAGTAACTAGGCAGGATGAAGGAGAGTTAGATGTATCTGGGTTTAATCATGGAATTCTTTAATATTTCAGTTTAATTAGTGATTTTCTTCAAATTTCAGTCAGTCAAGATGGAATGACACCATTTCCAATCAAAGTAAAATCTAATAAGTAGACACTTTTAGTTTAGTTTTTATATTAAAAAAGAGAAAGTAGTGTGCACTACCTACAAGTCTACTTACTAACTAGTGGAAGAAAGAAAATGTAAACCATAAAGTCATAATTTCCATTTTAAAGAGAAAAAATGAAAAATAAATCAGATAGTATATATTTTCCTTTACAAAAGCTGAAAAGTACACTGTAATGGAAATAGTATTTGAACAGAAGGTTACCTGGATTCTAATCCCAATGCTGCAAAAAATCTGAATGCTGACTGGCTAACTAAACACATCCCTTATTCTCCCTAGCCTTGTAATAGAACAGGGATTAAAGAGATATGACATGTAAAGTTTATTACAATAAAATGTGAAAGCAATTAGAAATTATTAAAAATACTACATAGGGACAGAATACCAATGACATCATTCTCAACTAACATTGCTGGCAAAAAAGGTACCATTTCACAAGAACTATAATGCCTGACACAAACAGAAACTCCACTCGAATTTTCAAGATGTTGGATTTGATACATGTTAGGCTGACATAAATTGTAGCATTCCAATATACTAAGGAATTAAAAAAATTATTTTAAATAGCTTCCAATGTGAAAAAAGACACCTAACCTTTCTTATAAGATTACCTTATAAGAAATTTAAACTGCAGAGATCTAAACATGAAAATTAAGACATCTCTGACTCACATCTATATAGTGTCATGATTCTTTAATCCAGAGTTTTAGAAATGAATGAATGAATGAAACTCAGAATGAAACTCAAAGTCAGAACTGGTCCACCATTTTGCTCCTTATATCCTGGCCCTTTCTCACAAATTTCAATGAAAGAAATATTTACTAAGCATAGATGTCACCAGTGCATTAGGTACTTTACACTCATTAGATTATTTCACTCTAATAACTCTAAAAAGATAGGTACTTTCATCCCAACACATAAAAAACTGAAGCTCAGAAAAGATAAACAACTAACTCAAAGTCACACAAATGTAAGTTTCAGGACTGCAACTCAAAACAAGGTCTGAGACCCAACAACTCATCTTCCTTTTTTAATATGCAATTCTCAGGTATACATATATACTCACCATCCCATCAACTCCTAATCCCACAAATAACAAATGAGTTTTCCGCTAAAAGGCAAAACACAATAGTGGCAAGAATATATCAGGGAAAGGGTGACGATGAATTATTAACCTATTAATATTTGTGTTAAATTTTCATACTGATCCATAAGAAAGGTAAAATAGGCATTATCATTTATTTACATTTGAATAAAAGCTCAGAGAGGTTATATAATTTGCTGCAAATTTGAAAGATGATAGTACCAGAGAGTTTTATAGTTCCCGAAATGCTTTTTCACCAATCCATATAGTATTCATCAAACAAATATTTATTCAGCAGCTACCAGGATTCATTCTAGGAGCTTGAGAAACCTGAGTGAAAAATATAGGCAGAACCCTGGCCAGTTTGGCTCAGCGGTTAGAGCATCGGCCTGTGGTCCAGAGAGATCCGGGTTCGGTTCCTGCTAAGGGCACGTATCTCAGTTGCAGTTTGTCCCTGGCCCTGGTTGGATTGTGCGGGTGGCAGCCACTCGATGTGTCCCTTTCACGGTCTCTCTCTCTCTCTCTCTTCCTCTTTCTCCCTTCCACTCTATCTGAACAAAAAAATGGAAAAAATGTCCTAGGGTGAGGATAAAAAGATAGATAGATAGATAGATAGATAGATAGATAGATAGATAGATAGATAGATAGATAGGCAAAGCCTGGCCAGTGTGGCTCAGTGGACTGAGCATCATCCCACGGACTGAGAGGTCCTGGTTCGATTCCCCATCAGGGCACATGCCCAAGTTGCAGACTCTGTCCTCAGTAGGGGGCATGCAGGAGGCAGCTGATGGATGTTTCTCTCACACTGATGTTTATATCTCTCTCTCCCTTTAAAAGATCAATAAAAAAATAAAAATATAGGCAGAGATCCTTACCCTCATGGAAGTTACATTCTAACAGGAGAGACAAAAAAATTGCAATAAATATAAATAAGCAAGTTATATAGTATATGAGAAAAAAGATTAAGTGCTCTGGGAAAGGTAAATAAAAAAGCAGAATAAAAGGGTTTACAAGTATCAAAAGGGGAAGAGTATGTTGCAATTTTTTTAATTAATTTTTATTGACTATATTGGGGTAACATTGACTAATAAAATTATTTAGGTTTTGGGTATACAATTCTGTAATACATCACCTGTGTATTTTATTGTGTGTTCACCACCCCGAGTCAAGCCTCCTTCCATCACCATTTATCCCCCCTTTACCCTCTTCTACCTCCCCCCAGCCCCTACAGGTTACAATTTTAAATAAGGTGGTCAGGGTAGACCTCCTTGAGAAGGTAACATTTGAGCAAAAATGTATAGGCGTAAAGGATTTAGCCATGCAAGTAAGTATTTGGCAGTACAGTGTTCCAGGCAGAGTAAACAGCCTGTATAAAGGCCCTAAAGGGAGAGCACGCCCAGTATTCTAAAGGAACAGCAAGGACTCTGTGTGAATGAAGTGGACTGAAGGAGAAGAGGAGAAGCAGGAGCTGAAGTTGGAGAGGTAAAGAGGAGGTGGATCTTGCAGGGCCTTGTCAGGACTCTGGGACATGGAGCGTCTGGGGAGGGGGTAAAAAAGTGGTATGTTCTGACTTATCTTTTACAAGGAATACACTGTCTACTCCGTTAAGAATTGTAGGGCAGGACTGGGAGGTGGGATAGGAGGGAAATGAGTCAAACCAGGGACAGTGCAGAAACTAAGCAGTAATTTAGGCCAGAGATATTGATGGCTTAGGTGATGATGAGAGCAATGCAGATGGTGAGAAGTGGTCCTTTTCTGAATATATTCTGTAAGTGGAAGCCACCAGAATTTGCTCACATACCAGATATTGGGTATAAGATTGATAACTCCAAAGGTTTTGAATTGAAAGGCTAGAAGGATGGCATCTCCATCGACTGAGATGCAGAGGGATGGGTGGAAGAGACTTTGGAGAAACTAAAAGGAGTTCAGTATTGGACATAGCTGGAGATATCAAGTGGGCTGTCAGATATACAAGCACAAGTTTAGGACAGAGGTCTGGCCTAAATACAAAACTGAAAATTTTTAAGCATATAAATAGATTTAAAACCATGAGATTCAAAATTCTTGAGCTGGAAAGATATTTCATACAAGTCACCCTCAACAGTGATGAAGATACATAAAGTCTAAAAAAATGCAGTAATATGGCCAAGTCAGACACACATAAAGCATTTCTAACAGAGCTAGAATTCTGTAGACCTGCATTTTCTTGAGAACAGTGTACTGCCATCTAGCATACTAAGTAAAAGCCTGTTCTTTGAAGAGCTAAGTAAAAGGAGTTCAACTTCCAGAAAAGATTCCCAAACCATTATGCATAACAGCCCAACCTTACTGTGACACTATTTGGGTATCCAAATTTCACTTGTCAAAGTGGTTATATTTAAATATTTTTACTTACCTGATATTTAAGCCAATGAAGTTTGTCCATGTGAAAATATAATCTCCACCAAAAACCATTCCAATATAAGTTATTAATATATTCTGAAAAAAAAAAAAAAAAAGCAATACACTAAGGCACATTTAGCAATCTTAGAAAACAATGCTTTTCTTCCCATTGAGATAACTGTTGACTTGTGAGGGGAGAGTGAAGAAGGAAAACCTGCTTACATATTAGAATCTTTCCCTCTTTTTTGAAAAAGACAAAAGGGATGGTGGGATGTTTACCAACTTGAAGACAGTTTTTAGAGGAACCTTCCTTGGTATCTTTAAAAAACACCTGGGAAGTCATCTCAGAGTAGCATACCTAAAATCACCCCCCAGGTGTAAACTATCTTCTGTTTCTCTGGCTCCCCTTTAATTAAACTCAGATCACAAAGGTGAAATACAGTTTTCCAAAGTTATTCAGTTCTTTCACATACATAAGTCATTTCCTCCCTCTCTGCCTTTACAGCTGCCATAAACACTAAACATCACAAACATTTTCAGTCCCTGGGTTTCTCCTAGATTAAGGCCCTAAAGCAGAAAATAAAGTGCTATAGTGTTTTTAAAAAGCCAAAACTTCAAAATTATTTTTATAATGGAGTGCCCTTTGAGCATTCAAAATTATGTCAACCTCTTCTAGGTCTAAAGATATAGAGAGCAAGTTACCTTCAAGCAGATCTTTTTAATTATTGAGGAGGAGATACAAAATACCATGTAATGGCAGGCAACTGGGAAAAATGTGTAACAGGACCTCTCTTGGAATGCAGACATCCAGAGATCCAGGGAGAAGGTAGATTAATTTGCATAGATTGCCCAAGGAACTTCAGAAAGGGAAAAGACAGAGAACTCAATCCTTTTTTTAAAAAAAAATTGATTTTAGAGAGATCAGAAGGAAAAGGGAGAGAGAAATATCGATTGGGTGCCCCCTGCATGCTCCCTACTGGGGATTGAACTCACAACCCGGGCATGTGCCCTGACTGGGAATCGAACCAGTGACCTCTCAGTACCTGCGACAATGCTCAGCCAACTGAACAACACTGTCCAGGGCAAGAAGAACTCAATCCTTATTGCATAAAACCAATCAGCAGAAGTTAGAAAAACTGTTAAGTCTACATTAGGCCAACCTAACAAAGGTTTGCTCTCAGGAAAAGAAAACAATGCTCCCGAAGCAGAACTAACCAGGAAGCACAGAAGAGTCTGGTAGCTTAAAACTAATTCTCAAATTTTAGTAATACCTGAGAATCATCTGGAAACCTTGTTAATGATGATAATTTCCAGGCTTTACTTTAGAGATTCTTATTCAGTATATCTGAGGTGGACCTAGAAATTTCCATTTTAAACTAGTTACACTACATAATTTTCCCACCACACTTAAAAGGAATGCTGACCCAAGGGTTTATGGGGTTAGGATTGTCGAGCACAGAAGACAGCTTAACGCCCCTTGTGGAGCAATGACTGAGACAAAAGGGTGTGAACTGAGAGGCTAATGAAATAAGCTCCTGTCTCCCGTGAGGCTCTGAAATAGTGTATGCCCATCTGTCAGAAGGTGTAAGACATCCTTCCAGCGATACCACATGGCAGTGAGAAGCAACAGCAATTGTAAACTAATCAGACAATCCAATTTTTCCCTTCCCTCTAGAGTTTAGAAGCAAAACTGATCGATCCCTTTGTGCTAAGTCCATAGGGTTCTGTACAGAGAAAGAAATAGTAAAAGAAAAGTACTGGGTTTTATGTTAATGAGAGCATGACTATATTTGCACCCCATGCTGATAATAATAAAATACACTAAGAAATTCTAAGCAAATAGGCTTAGTTATTAACATTAAATATGGGCTTTCCTATACCATTCTTTCTTTTTCACTAAAAATATGGTACCAATTGGCCTTCTTGCTGTTCTTATTCTGAAAATGCAAGCCATCCACTTTGCTCTGAGGGCATTTGCTTTATGAATCTGAAACAGAACTGAGAGCTCATTTGTGGTCTAAAACCATGTCAGTCAGCCAGATCTCTGAGTGTAGACTATTTCTAGATTTCAAGGGACTTCAAACCGCTGATTATTGTAGCTTCATTTAGAATTCTATTCACACCAAACACTCCAATGCCATGATATGAAGACATGGACCGTCTGGTTTTAACCCAAATCTAGTTTCTAAAATAAGGTCATATGGACACCACTCCATTGGGGATCAAAGGGAAACATAGCAGAGCCATAAAAACTTGGCTTCTGCAACCAGTTGCCTCACTTTTTGATAAATGAGGCATCGTAAACTGAGTCCCAAGGGCAACTGCACTCTTTTCCCCAAGAGATCTGGGGTTTACCTCTCTGTTTTACCTTTTTAGAAAGCAAGCCTACCTCACTAATTCATTTGAAATTCAGGCATGCTGTGGCCTCGCGGATTTTAAAGCACTAGAATTATAAAGTCAGATGAAAGAGGCCTCAGGCTTCAAGTCACTAACTTCAGCCCAATGTTCAAGTCAACTCGGCTCTCCTGGCTAAAGACAAATGAGCCTCCCTCAGATGAAATGGTCAGGAGGAAATGACATCACTGGCAATGTCAGACACAGCTTTTAAAAGTGGGCCATTTAAGGTTTGGCTCACACATAGGAAAACTCCCTTGATGAACTGGAAGACATCCTTTCCCTACAAAACAGCCAGAACTCAGTGAGAACAGAACAGTTCTCATTAGGGGTTAAAGAGACAGGCCTCTCACTATTGAGCTCATGATCTGCCCTCTCAGAAACAGGCCAAATTCTTCTTCCCCTACTCCAAGATAATATGCTCTCCTTTTCTCATACTCCTCAGAGCTAAATAGCCTGAAAGTAGAGATTATATCCTCCCCAAGTTGTTAAAGATTGTTTCAGAGACCATCACCACAATTTGTCAAACTATCAAAAAAATATATATTATATATATTTTTATATATAATATATATAAAGATTTTTTATATATATTTATATTTTATATTTATATTTTTATATATATATATAAAGATTATGGGACATAAGGCCATAGCCAGACTTATTTTAGAGAAACAATTTTCAAATAAAGCAGGTACCCAAAAGAGAACAGTATTTTTTTTTAACTCACCTTAATACAGCCAACTATTGTAGTTGTAAGAGCAGAATTATACTGAGTGCAGAGTACTGTGGCATACATCAAGATAAACCTGCAATGAGAAAGAGCCAGTTGCTTTCTTTACAGTAGTCACCAGTGTTGGCCCTTCTAGCATGTCACTGACTGTGAGTTTTCCCTACTTCACTATTGCTTGTACTACCACTTGATTTTTAAAATTTCATTAAAAAGAAACATATGTCCATTTTCTGATCCGGTGTTTTTCCCAGCTACCTTCACCAAAACCTTGAACCCATCATTCATAATCATGAGTACTCTGTTTAGATCGTATTCCTACTAATTCACTTAATCCAAACAGACAGCTCAGAGCTCACAGAACCTGGCTCAGGGCAATATGACCTTGGGACCAGGGTGAAGGCAAGAGAGATTCTTAAGGATGGATAAAAATCAAATCAGAACTATTAAGAGATACAGGTTCACTTAAAAACTAAGTGGCAGCAGTTGGAACTCCCAGATGTATAACGAGCCTTCTGAGTACAAAGTACTCAGTACTTAGCCATCATGTCCACTTTATTTTGAAGCTCGCTATAAAGCTTGTGCCAGATCCAGTCACAAATATCAACTGAACTGACTGACAGAGGAAAAGTGTGTTAGGGAAATATGAAGGTGAAGAGAAGAGACACATTTGCAGGTACCCTCTAGCTTTCTACATACTCTTCTAAGAGGAAGAGGGCCTGGTAGTGAGGAGTCAAACAGTCCCCAATTCAAGGGCTGCCACTGCCATCTACTAATTATGCAAACTCAGACAACCCACCTGAGTTCTGAGCCTGCTTTCTCATAGGTAAAGGGACAGTATCTCCCAAATGGTCAATGTAGAAATAAAATAATGCATGAAACATGTGGTGAAAAATAATGTTAAAATATAACGGTGCTTATCACCTACTACGTTACTGGGTAAATCTTAGTTTTTCTCCATCCTTCTAAGCATGACTTTGGGATCAGTTTAGTTGGCCTAAGGGCACATTCTCAAGGGCTGTGAAACCACCTGAAATTGGAGGTTTAATTATCCTAGCTGATACACTCAAGAGACAGAACAGGATACTGAGGAATGAGGCAAAAGGACCCTAGAACACACTTCTCTAGGAAAACTACCTGCTAACAAGGCAGCAAAGGCTTACCCCATCACACAAGAGAGGGTGAACTGGAGAAGAAAGAGGGTGTCAGCCCAGCCTTCAAAATCCATTGCCTGTAATACATGACAAAGCATTCAATTTTAGAGCAAAATTAGTTGTCTCATTTGTTAATCAAAATCCTATGTGCTTGCTTCCACCACAAATACACACATTTCCCCGCATCCCTCCAAGCACAGAGGATGATGTTAAAAAATTTCACATATATGGACTTGAACCAATAAGCAGTTCCAGAAGGTTTTCTCCTTTCCAAAATGTAATGTGAAGATTTTGTACTTCCTGGTGGCACAAAGAAACCGGTATTTGCTTGAAGGCACAAGCCACATTAGGCAAATCTCGGCAGTTCTCCCAGATGGCTAGTATTAAAGGCTTTCTCAAACATTAAAACAAATCTCCTCCTTATAACATGTGAAAGTTCAAGTACAGCTTTAGTTATACAGATTCAGCTGAGGTCTGTCCAGGGAGAATCAGTCTTTTAAAACAGTTGATTGTAAAAGCAAGGTTTTTTTTATGTTGTTTTGTTTTTAAACCAAAATGGAACGGAGAGACATGCATGGGCACATTGCTCATCTCATCTCTCATCCAAGAGGGAAGGTTTCTCTCCCAAGTACATAATTTCTCTTGCACTATAAATCTGATAAGCAAATTTGAGAAACATTTCTTCTTTTACCTCTCTGCCAACCTGTCCAGCTTCTATTCTTGCCACTTGGACATAAACCACACAGCTCTGGGGCTCCAGCAATACCAGGCTCCTTTATAAAACATGACATGCATTTTCACAACTCACATGCCTCTGCCTGGAATGCCCTTCCTCTTAACACTTACCTGGCTTCTGTTCACCCCCCACACTGAAAGTCAAGCGCCTCCTTTGTGGGACTTTCCCTAATCAAGAATGCCTTCCTTTGTGCCTGAGCAGATATTCTTCTCTATAGGGCTCTTATTTCTCTGAACTGTGTCTTCCTACCCCAGCTCTACAGACTGTGAGCTGCCTGGAGAGAGAACTCCCATCACATGTATCTAATCATATTCCCAACACAGCACTTGACAGACAGTAGACATCCATTTTGTTTATGGTTCTTTCTCTATTGAAGCATAATCCATCAAAAATAAAATTCACCAATTTTAAGTGTATAATTCAATGAGTCTTGACACATGTATATAGTCATTTAACCACCATTACAATCATGATAAAGAAATTTCAGCCCCAAACCATAAAACTCCTAGAAGAAAATATAGGGGAAAAAAGGTCCATGACACGGGTCTCAATAACAATTTTTTGGATATGACACAAGAAGAAATACAACAAACCAAACAACTGCTGCACAGTAAATGAAACAATCAACACAATAAGAAGGCAACCTACTGAGTAGAAAAAAATATTTGCAAACCACCTATCTGTTAAGAGGTTAATATACAAAATCTGTAAGAAAGTCATACAACTCAACAGCAAAAAATTTTTTAAAATTAAAAAACCCAATTAAAAGAAATGGACAGAGGAACTAAACAGACATTTTCCCAAAGAAGACATAGATGAGAAAGTGCTAAATGTCACTAATCATCAGGGAAATGCAAATCAAAATCACAATGAGATATCATCACCTCACACCTGTTAGAATAGCTATTATAAAAGGACAAGATATAACAAGAGCTGGCAGGGGTGGAGAAAAGAGAACCCTTGTGCACTGTTGGTAGGAATGTACATCAGTGCAGTCTCGGTGGAAAACAGTATGGAGGCTCCTCAAAAAACTAAAACTAGAACTACTGTATGATCCAGTAATTCCACCTCTGGGTATTTATATAAACAAATGAAATCAGGATCTCAAAAAGATACCTGCACTCTCATGTTCATTGCAGTATATTTACAATAGCCAAAATATGGAAACAATCTAAGTGTCCATCTACGGGTAAATGGATAAAGAAGATGTCACACACACACACACACACACACACACACACACACACACAGGAAATCCTGCCATTTGCAATAACAAGAATGGAACCTGAGGACATTATGCAAAATGTGATAAGTCAGACAGAGAAAGATAAATACTTATATGTGGAATCCAAAAAAGCCAAATTCAGAGAAACAGAATAGAATTGCCAGGGACCGGGGCGGGTACGGAGATGTTGGTCAAAGGGCACAAACTTTCAGTTGTAAGTTCTGAGGATCCAATGTACAGCATGGTATTATAGTTAATAATACTGTATTAATATACCTGATTGCTGAGAGATCTTATATGCTCTCACCACAAAAAAGAAATGGCAATTATGAGAGGTGATGGAAGTATTAACTACTGCTACCATGTGATCATTTTGCAATATATAAGTGTATCAAATCAATATGTTGCACACCTTCAACTTAAATGTCAATTATATTTCAGTAAAACTGGAAAAAAAAATGTACCACCCTAGGAAGTTCCCTCCTGCCCCTTTACAGTCAATCCCCTCCCCCCAATTACATCCCTTGGCAACCTCAGATCTACTTTATGTTACCCAAGTTTTGCTGTTCAACAATTTCATATAAATGTGATTTTATAGTACATACTCTTTTATGTCTGGCTTCTTTCACACAGCATAATGCTTAAGAGATTTATTCATGCTGTTGTGTGTATCATTAATTCATTCATTTTTATTCCTGATTAGTATTCCATCTCATGGCTCTATACCATCTATTTATCCAGTCAATGGACATTTATTTGGTATTTCCATGACTACTTGTTTTGAATAAAGCTGTAATAAACTTTTGAATACAAGTCTTTGTGGACATGTTTTTATTTCTCTTGGGTAAATACCTAGAAATGGGATGGCTGTTTCTTTCAGTAAATATATCTTTTACTTCATAATGGTATTATCGACTTTGGAAAATAGCCGACTGTTTTCCAAAGTGGATATACCATTTTGTATTCCCCGCACAAGCACTGTATGAGAATTTCCATTGTTCTACATTCCCACCAACACTTGGAACTGTTTGAGACATCTCTAGTAAAAAATGGCATCTCACTGAAATTTTCATTTGCATTTCCCTAATGACTAATAATGCTGAGCATCTTTTAATATGCCTATTTGCCATCATTACTGATTCTCTCAAATCTTTTCCAAATTTTATTCAAGTTATTCGTCTTCTTATTACTTAGTTGTAAGAGGTTTTAAAAATATATTCTGGATACAAGGCCTCAGTTATATATATAAAAAATATGTGTGTGTGTGTGTATGTATGTGCACACATATATATATTTGTGCAAATATTTTCTCCCAGTCTGTAACCTGCCTTTTGATTTTTTCATATTATTGTTTGGAAAAAAATTAATTTTGATTGTAGTCTAACATCAATTTTGTCTTTTATAAGTCTTCCTTTTAATGACTTTTCTATGAAACCTGGATCTAACCCAAAGTCACAAAGATTTTTCTCCTTATGCATTCTTCTGGTTTTATCATTTTAACTCTATATATAGGTCTAGATACTGTTGAATTAATTGGCTAAGGCTGCTGTAAGCAAGTACCACAAGCTGAGTGACTTAACAGAAACTTATTGTCTTAAAATTCTAGATGCCAGAAGTCCCAGATCAAGGTATCAGCAGGGTGGGTTCCTTCCGAGAGCTGAGAGAATCCGTTCCATCCCTCTCCCTTAGCTTCAGGAGACTGGCTGGCGATTGTAGAGGCATCACTCTGATGTCTGCCTTCCTGTTCACATGGCATTCTCCCTGTGTGACTGTCTGTATCCAAACCTGCCCTATTTATAAGGATGCCAGTGACAATGGATTAGGGGTCCACCCAACTCCAGTATGATTTCATCTTAACTAATTATGTCTGCAATGACCCTACTTCCAAATAAGGTCACATTCTGAGGTACTGGAGGTAGGACTTCAGCATATGAATTGGGGGGAGGGTGGGTCACAGTGCAAGTAGTAAAACTTTTCAAGTTAATTTTGTGTGTTTCTTGAGGTAAAGGTCAAGATTAATTTTTTTTTTTTTTTTGTATAGAGACATCAAATTGTTTCAGCAACACTTGTTGAAGTGATTATTATTTTTTCATTGATTTATTTTGGTATGTTGGACAAAAACAATTGATCACATACTCTACTTCTATCTCTTGATGCTTTAATCAGTTCCATTAATGTATATCTACCCATAATCCAATACCACACTGTCTCGATTACTGTTGCGTTATAAGTCTTAAAATCAAGTAGAATAAAACCTCCAACATTTTTCTTTTTCAAAATTGATTTGACTATTCTGAATCCTTTGTAATTCCATATCAATTTTAAAATAATCATCAATTTCTACCAAAAAAAACAAACCCTGCTACGGGATTGGGACTATGTTGAATTTATAGATCAATCTGGGAAGAACTGACAAATTAACCATATCAAATCTTTCAATTCATAAACATTCATAACTATAAAAATCATTTATCTAGGTCTTTTAAAATTTCTCTCAGTACTGTTTTATGGTTTATTTTCAGTATACAGATGTTGACATATTTTGTTAAATTTTTCCCTGAGTATTTCATAATTTTGAAGCTATTATATATGGTATTATTTACTTAGTTTCCAAATGTTCATTGCTGGTGTGTGGAAGTACAATTAATTTTTATGTACTGACCTTGTAGCTTACAACTTTGCTGAACTAACTCATTCTAATTACTCTTTTCTAGATTTTTTAGGATATCTACATATATAATCAAACTTTTTATTGATACATTTTTACTTCTTCCTTTCTAATCTGCATGACTTTAATCCTTTATTCTTACCTTATTGCACTAATGAGGTCCTCTAGTATAATGCTGAACAGAACATTATATGAAGGTGGACATCTCACCTTGTTCACAATCTTAGTGAAAAGGTATTCAATCTTTCATTATTAAGTATATTAATAGATTTTCTTGGTAGATGTCCTTGAGAAAGTTTCCTTCTATTCCTAGTTTGCTGAGAATTTACACTAATAAATGGGTGTCAAGTTTTGTCAAATATGTTTTCTCCATCTAGTGACATGGTTCTACTATTTTACTCTTGTTAATATGGTGAACTGCACTGACTGATTTTCAAACATTAAACTC